GAGCGCAGCTGGCCCGGCCAGCTCCCCGTGCCCCGGGGCTTTCTTCCTGAGCCGCCGCCCCTGCGGGAAAGAGGAGGGGGCAGGGAGGGGAAGAGGCACCTGGCCCTGGGTGCGTGGCGTTGCCCTTGACTGCCCGCCAGTGACCTGTCAGTAACTCCTTGGACCTGGCCTCCTGACGGCACGTGAACATTAGTGATCATCTCGTATGATGAATGCATGAAACACGTAGCTTGAGGTTGCACCCGTCACTGTCTTCATGTTAGAGCGGAAGAAACTGGCCAAATACTGTATCTTGCTCAGACTCCCGCGGAGAGGAAACGCTCCCGAGGTTCCTTCGGGGCCTGAGTCCAGAGCTAGAGCTGCCCCTTACCTCCTGCCCTCACCTGCCAGCTTCCTGTCCTCGCCCCTTTGCCCGCTCCTGGAACTGGTCTGTCCCCTTGGATCCTCAACAATGCAGGGTCCAGAGGATGGATCCAGAGAGCAGCGATGAGGAAAAGATAGGGTTAGGCCAAGTGGGGGAAAAATGAAATGGATTTAGGAATGGGAATGCCAAGGTTGAGGCCGAGAATTTGTTTTCTGTTGCTGCCATAACACATTACCGCAAACGTAGTGGCCTAAAAGAACACAAATTTATTATCTTACTGTTCTGTGTTTCAGAAGCCCAACATGAATGGCACTGCACTAAAATCAAGGGTCTGCAGGGTTGGAGACCCTTACTGGAGGCTCCAAAGAGAATCCGCTTCCTTGTCTTTTTCAGCTTCTAGAGGCTACAAGCATTGGCTCATGGCCTCCTCCAGCTTCAGAGCCAGCAACGTAACATCTCTCTGCCCCTGCTTCTGGGACATCAAATGTCTCTTTGATTCTCTCCTCTGCCTCCCTCTTCCACTTTTAAGGATTCTAGCGATTACATTGATCCCACCCAGAGGATTCAGGAAAATCTCCTTATTTTAAGGCCAGCTGACTAGCAATTTTAATGCCATCTATAACTTTAATTCTCTTTTGTCATGTAACATAACATACTCATAGGCCCTAGGAGTTAGGATATGGACATCTTCAGAATTGGGAGGAGGGCATTACTCTGCCTTCCACAGGCCTGGAATTTCAAAAGAGGAGATGAGCTTGCTACTTACTATACCTTACACTTATTCCCTATGTTCAGGACTTCTCTACCCTCCAGATCAGGTTAGACAGACACACACACACACACACACACACACACATCATGCACTGTCACAGCCCTGTACTGTTCTTTAGTAAAAATTACATAGATATTTCTGTGCAATTACATATTTAAATTTGTGTCTCCTCCATTCAACCCTAAGCCCCTTGGAGGCAGGATCCAAGCCTGCCTTTTTCACCGTAGAACCTCTAACACTTGGTGCCAGCTCTGACACAGAGAATATGCTCGGAAGGTATTTGAATGAGAGAATGAATTAGTATGACCAGAGAATCCTTAGATTTGAGACAGAAGGATAGAGGGACTTTTCAGGCACTGAGAGATGGGGCCTAGGGCCTGGCTGGGATGTCACCCTTGGAATTAAAGCTGCATGAGTGGGTGGGGAGAGGGAATAGGGAGCTGGAACCTGGTCCCAAGGGCAGAGCCATGGGGAAGGGCTGTGCTCAGGGCCCAAAGGAAGAAGAGTGTGCAAAAGTAGCAGAGTAACCAGAGGGGTGGATGAGAGACAGACCAGAAAACCCAGGAAGCCGAGGAAGGAGGCCTTTGAGGAGAAAGTCACCAGCAGCGTGGATCACTGTGAGGGGTCAGGAAGAATGAGATTGGATATAAAAATAACAGGTCACTGTGGTCACCAGTAACATCTGGGAGTCCAGCCTAGAACAGCAGAACCTGGACTGCTGGATGATGAAGAGAGGGAGTGAGTGGTGAGGAAAGCAGCCAGGACAGGGACAGAGATCTGCACAGAAAGATAGGGACCCCAAATTCTTATCTCAGCTTTCTAATTTCTCTCCAAGCCCACTTTGGGACCTTGGGCAAAAATCCTCTGTTTCCTCATTTGTGCAGAGGGTATTCCAACTCAGAAATACCTGGGCTCTGTGCAGTGCCCTACTTGGAGAACCTTGCTCGAGCAGCCCTCTTCTACCCTCTCCTGCACCCTCCCGCACTCTCTTCAAGGGCCTGTGGACCTGGCTGGTCTGCATTCCTTCCCAGAGTCATTTCTGCTAAGGGTGTATTCATCTATCTGAGGTCATCTCCCCTGATCACACGTACCCCACCCCACTATCGAAATGCATGACCCTCCTTTCAGCTCCAGATGTTAGGGAGTGAAGGCCCTTTTCTGCTTCCTAACTAAGAGAGTCTGGACAACTCTGGACCAAAAGCATACTTCTATTAATTGTATGCAAATACTTGTTACAATTGTTAAAGGGTGTGTGCTAGTTGTGGGTAAGGTCCTGGGTGCTGAATCACCTGTCCAAGCTCTGAACACTCCCACTGCTGCACCACACTGACCTCTGGAATTTGACCAGGAGGGAACTCAGAAGCCAATCTTCCCTTGGGGAGATGACATAACTAGTCCCTGACACTGGCAATTCCACCCAATTTTTTTGCAGAACAGGTGGGGTTGGGTTGGGGGAAGTAGTCTTTGTTTCTGCAGCTCCATTTGATGGTTTGCAGAACATGGAGGAGACAATGGCTGCCCCTCTGAAGGGTCCTGCTCTGCCCCTGCACACTGGCTCTTGGGGCAGGCTCTGCACTCATTCCCTCCAGCACCAAATGGTCCAAGGATGGGTTCTAGGCAGGATGGAGAACCTGGACTTGGTTGCTGCCCAACAGTTTTGTTGGCTTGGCAAACAAGAAGGGCCAGAGAGATGAACACATGTCCTCTAAGGAAGAGAGTGGTGAGGAAGGGGGAAGAAATCCCTGCTTCATATGTCTTCAAGATGTTATTTTATAATCTCTCAGGCCTGGGGACCAGAGCCTTTTATCTGGCTTTCAAGACCTCACTTGCTAGGGCAAAATGTGGAGGTAGAGAAGCATGCCATAGTGGATGTTCTTAGTTCATCTTAATTCTCTTAACTATCCTATGAGGGAGGTACTAATAGTATACCCACTTTGCAGACATAAAAATTAAATAATTTGCCCAAAGGCACACAGCTTGTAAATTGCAGGTCTGAGTTTTAAACCCAGATAGTCTGGCCCCAGAGTTCTTGCTTCTGCCCACTAGAGTAGGTGGAAAATACTTGAAACAGGCCCTGTTGTGATCTGAAGGTGCCACACAAGTCACCACTGGCCTGCGCTGGCATCACCTCCCATTGCAGGTGGGTAGGGCAATCGCTCTCTGTCACCTCTGAGTTCCCTCTGCTCTGCCAGAAGTACCTTTCATTCATGAAGCATGAACATGAGGAAAGGGCCCTCCCTAGGAGCTCCCCAGCATCCCCACCTCTGCCCACCTTCCTTCAGTGTCCCATCAGCATATTGAGGGCAGGGCTATGTCTCTCTCACCACTGCATCTCCAGTGCCTAGCACAGGAGCCAGCACACAGTAGATGTTCAAACATTAGTTGTTTGTTTTTAAATCATTGAGTTCAACCAGCTCTTTTTACAGATAAAGACACCGATATGCAGGTTAAGTGACCTGGCCAAGGTCCCACAACCTTCATCTGAGGGCCTTGTTCCTTGCTCTGATCAGGAGATCAAGGAGAATCCATACATTCATATAGACAGGATGTGAAGACGACAGGCTGGTGGCCCATCACAGCTGGGGGAGAGAAAAGGAGTTCCAGGGTACTAGGGGCCTGGTTTTGCCTTGGAAACACCCTGGATTTAAAAA